TCCCTATATATCAGCAGCAGGATTTGTTTCATGCCCCTGGATTAGGAGAATGAAGCTGGTATTGCAGCTGCTTTTTGCTCAAGCTCCCCAACCTTAAAATTAGCGAGGGAATATGCTAGCCTCTAGCTTTCATATAGGAAAGGCTCCCCATGCCACATCACGCCAGAATTTGCAAGTGAGGAGCAGGCAAATCGATCTCCTGTGGCACAGAAGGCTCGAGAAGAAAGGGAAGCTGGCCTTCAGGGTGCTACTGTAGAGATGCAAAAATAACCTTCAACTTCAGTAAAACTAAAAGCAAGGCTCATTCACACAGTGAAGTACAGCCTGTGAAACCCAGAAGCGTACAGTATGCTTCTGTATTCGTCTCATCTAGCTCAATCATTTCAGGCAGAGTTTATCCTCCAAAAGCTACCTGAACTTGTGCTCATTTGCACTCCCTCCTCTATTCCCCTTTTCAGACAAGCAGTAAAACACTGCCCTAGCTGCTAAGAGAGATCACTAATGGCACTCTGCACAGAAGCTTCTAAATACATCACGACAGCAGAAATGGAGGCTTGGAGCCGAGACATGCGAGAAGGGTTTTCCTCCAGCAATGACAAAACCAAGGGAGGGCATGCAGGCTGTGGTTCTACACCATCACTCATCTCACGGCAAACCAAGAGGTTTCTATCCCTTCCAACATCTGTTTGCAATATCCGTGTGTCCCCACAGATTCCCTATAGCGGCACCCACCCCACTGCTTCTGTAGCCATACTCTGGCTCTGAAAAGATATTTTCTTCAAATCTCTCAGCAGCACATTTTGTCTTTTATCATTGGGTCAGACAGCTGGTTTTGAGCACAGCCGTAGGTCTGGTTGAGCCAGTACAAACCATAAAGAAAAACTCTGGCAGGAGGAGGGACAAAAATAGAGACTTCAAGCTGGGCTTCCTATAGAAGCAGCACAGAACCACCTCAACAAACATCAGTTTTTAAAAACCGTCAGAAGGAACCAAGTCAGTCCTACCTGCAGCTGGTTACTGCTGACAGCACTTGTGGATGACTCTCCTGAGAAGCAAGACAGACATCAAAACTCAGAAGTATTTTCCGTGTTCGTCCTCCACCAGATCTCTCTGAACGCAGCAGGAGCTGCACAGTCTCCTCCCGGTCAGTTCGCCACTCTTGGCCTATTTACAACTCCCATTACAAGGTCTGAATGCCCTGACTTCATGCCTGCGATTGCACGTAGTTTCCTTACCAAAGGGGATGGGAAAGCATTTGGCTCAAACCACTTCTGATACTCTGCCCAAAACATGAGGCCAACTTTTCCCAGTGCTCCAGCATGTGACAGCAAACTGCTGTAACACACACACAAAAGGCAACCAACGCCAGGCAGATAATACCACATTCATGTAGTCACTGGCTACAAGACAACTTGCAGCAAGAGGAACAAAGGCAGCTATCACATATGAAAGGCGCCATTAAAAACAGCAGTGCCTGAAATTCAGCCTTTCAGCTGCCCTGAAAAGCCCCTCTCAACAGCCCGCAAGAATCCGAGTCCTTCTCTTCTGACCAAAGGCTCCTCCAGAACTCATCTAGTAACATCTAGAAGCTCAGCCTCTCAGATCGAGGGCCAAGAAGCAATTCAAAGCCATGCTTCAGCCTGCTTCTTGTCTTGGGACCGAGCTGCTGCTTTTGATGCTCCAGGACCCTTCTGATCCAAAGGTGGGAAAATTCTCCAACACGTCAATTAAGGCTTCAGCCCCTCACTGAACCCTTGTTTAACTTTTTGCCAAAACAGCTCTGCTGCTTCCTAAATGCATCTTCTCCCCCCTCATCAGCACACACCTCGCATTTCATACTTAGCCACGTCTGCTTCCACATGCCCTTGTGGCATCTGACCCCAACGGCTGCGAAAGCCGGAAACACTGCTTTTGTTCCCAGTGTAAGGAAGCAGATTTCAAAGTGGATCCACCCTTCCAGATCAGCTATGAAACTCGTGCAGAAAGAAGCAACCGGTAACACTCTGACAGTAAGCAACGATGAACACTGCAAAACAGGAAAACAGTCAGTGCTAAACACAAGAGAAAACGGTCAGTGTCTCATCTCCTATGGGGGCTGAGAAGCCTGAAGTCCCCGAGAGGACAAGCAGCAGGTGAAGGATGACATGGGGCCCGGTCCAAGCCCAGCTGCTCCTGCAGTGCAGCGAGCGCTGCCAGCTGGGGCCACTGCCACGCATGCAGTCGTGCCACAGGGATCACCAAGATGTTCTGGAAAACTGCCGGTGCCCTCTGGAGAAGGAGCGCAAACAACCGTCACCCTTTCTGCAGGTCCACCACGAGGAGCAGTGGGAGATGGCCCTGGCAAGCTTAAGAAATGCAAGAGATGAGAAATGCATTGGCTGGGCCCCTTTCCCCTAGGAGCAGCTCTTCCCCTCCACCAGATCAAAGGCTCCACTGCACTAGTCATAGTGCTAATTGCATTTAAAAGAACAGTCAAGTCCTGGAAGATGAAAAAATTCAACTGCATCCTTGGATTTCTCCCACTACAACAGTGGAAAGGGCTCTAGGTTTATTACAAACCCAGTAACACTTTCCACAGACTGCTAACCCTGAAGTCACAGCTATTACCTTTCTAGCCGTACGTTAAAAGTCAGGACTCTGCTCTATATCCTTAACAGGCTAAAGACGCTTCCTGCAACCTCTCCATGAAATGGGGCGTAGCCAGCCTGCAGTACCGACGGCTTCAGCATTCCAGGGAAGAGACTTGCATAAAGAACACGCAGATGCATTGAGATTTTATTTTAATCTGACACATAATTACGACACACCTTCACTCATATTAATCGAGCCTAAACCGGTAGCCAGAGAAAGGAGCAAAGCAGTCAGGAATAGCTCACACTTGAATCACCAGCAATAGCTGCACACTGAAAAGATAGCCTGAAAGCCTCTGGTTCAATGGCCGTCGCCCAAGGACTATTCCTGGCCGAGACCACAAAGCACCAACCTGGAAAGCATTCTAACTTTGCCTCCGGCAGCAAGTGGCTTTGGCAAACGCTGGTGGGAAAACAATGACCTCTTGTGCCACCCTATACAGGCCAGGAGTGCGGCAGAGCTCAAAGAATTAAAGCTATCATGCTGCAAGGAGGAAGAAAAAAGAAGCTGCAGGTCTTAAGGGCAGTCAATGAGGGATCACATCGAGTCCTTCTTATCCTCTGTTCATCCTCAAAGTGAGATGGTTTCCAGATTTAAGGTCCAAACAAAATCCTTCCAAATTCCTGCTCAGGACTTCTGCATACAGTAAGAGATGTTTTTTCCTCTAAACAACTCTTTTGTTGTTGCTGTTGCAGGAAAGCCGAAAAGCCCAGCAACAGCCCAGCACAAGCGACAAGGTGTTCCCAGACCCTTCCTAAACACCTAACACCGCAGTCCCTCTGCGAGGAGACAGACGAGTGCGATACTTAACCTGGCTACAGAGTGGATTTTCAGTCAGTTCGAGAAAGGGGCTTGCTCTGCTCATATTTGTTTTCCTCCTTTGTTATTTTACATCTTGAATTAGCTTTAATACACAGCAGGATGTTGTTTTTAAGACAAGGATAGCAGGGCCAGTCATCTGCTGATATGAACACGCAACGCCAGCAGGTCGTCAGATCCAGCGGGATGCAGAATACGGCTCACTGAAACGCCTGCATTGGGTCAGCTCACTCGTAACAACACGGCACAGCCTGCCGCCCCTCCGCATTTACCAGACTGTGCACAAGATTTGCTTATTTTCAAAGTTAACAGAGTAGGTCCTCGCAATCTCTTAGTTGTCAAAATAGCAGGGTTGCCCTTCCTCCGTGTACATTTTGTGCAGGAACATTTGAATCTCGCCTTTATAAAAGTGAAGATTACCAGGAAACAACACAATCGCAATCCAGACCCCAGCCGCCCCACCCAAAGAGTTTAATTGTTCCACTTGCTCTCTGCCCTCTATATTTTTGGTAAATGTATCTAAGCAAACAGATCTGCTTTTTGGATGGTCACTTACCTTTTGTTTTCCTATCTGCTGCAACTGGCTTTTTAGTTTCCGCTGTAAGCAACAGCTCGTAAGGGTGTTCCTCTTCCTCAGCTCCGCTTCCCCTGCTCTTTCCTCGCGCAACAGAGGCCTGGTGAAAAACAGCATAGTGTAGTGCTCCACAAAGCAATGCTGTTTATCCCGGCAATTAAGCACAAGGTCTCTTTATGCCATGGTTTAAGCAAGGAATTGGCAGAGGCACCACCTTCGCTGTGGAGTGTGATCCAAAATGTAATACTCCCTTCCCCCTACCTCCCGTAGAAAAACAACCCAAACCCCCTTTATTTGCTAGTATTGGAGGTTGCTGACAGCTTTCTAGCACTGACCAACTGATTCACTGCACAAGGTCTGCTGACAGCCTGGAAAAGAGCTGAGATCGTTATTCCTGTTCATCCCAACTCAGACTTACTGTTGCTACTGGAATTTGCATCGTCATTCACTATTTAGTTGCTGGCCCTGTTAGGACACAGATTAAAAAAAAAAAAGGCCCAAATCCCTGCCACCTTCTCAGAAGTCTCAGCTCCAGCATTTCTAACCTCAGGACGCAGACCGTATTTAGGAACAAAGAGCCCTCAGGCAACACTGCATAAACTCAGTTTAACCTCAGAATGTGCAGCAGTGGTGGTGCTCATTTAAATCCCAGAAAGCCTCTGATTAGAGTTTGTTCGTAATGTTGGCAGACCCTCCAGCAAGCTGCTCTGGAAAGCCACCATCCATGTGCAGGGACATGGTCTCGATGCAGAATCCAAAGGAGCCTTGCTGCAAACTCGCACATGTTGGTCTCCCTCAGCGCCAAGGAGGGCAGGCGTTCGACATCCTTTGAGAGCCACATGGGCCATCCCAGTGCTAACGGGGCTAAACTGGGCTTCAAGGCACCCTGCCTGCATGGTCGCCTGCCTGTCAGCACCATCTCCTGGCCAGACCCCGGCAGGCTGATGCAACCTTGTCCCAGGAGCCACGGATGCCTACAGCCAACCACAGTGGGGTCAAACCCAAGCCAGAAAGCCAGTGACCCCAACCTGCTGCCAAGGCAGGGAAGAACAGGTCTGAAGAACACATCGCCCCAAGGAGGGCTCTCATACTGCTCATGGACTCCTGGAACTGCCGCTGTCTAGACAGTGGGCTAAGCACCACCTCCCATTTCTTCCCCAAAGTGAAAGCGTTGGAGTTGCTTCGAGGGCAAGCAGGTACCTACCTGCCTGCAGTCTAGCCAGGCTCTCTGGAAGCTGGGGGAGTCTTGGAAAGACACACGGGAATCAGCAGCCCGGACAGGAGTCCTACATCCGTGTACTGCTTCTGCATAAGCCCAGCTGGCTTTTAAATCAACTTTCTCAATGGGAGGAAATGGGCCATGTCCGGCAAAGAAAGTATTTATTCTGCCTGCTTCAAGCGTGAGCTGTCAGGCAGCCCTGCTCCTTTTCAGCTGAAGGAGCTCATAATGAGCAAATTAAGGGAAAAAACTTCTGACCAGATGGTGGCACAAAACCATCAGACCGTAACAGTAGGTAACCAGCTCTCGCAAGAGATCCTGGAAAAATACTGCACAGCAGCAGCCTGTCCTAACAGTGGGAGCCTGGACCTCCAGCCAGGCATCAAGACACTCCTCAGGCTCCTGCAGATGACGATTGCTGTGCTGCCCTCCTGCAAACGCACTGACCGCGTTCGAGGGCAGTAGCTCTCTAGCAGCACGCAACTCCCAGCTTTTGCTTTGTGGACTTCTGTGTGTGCATTTATAAGTCTGATTACAATTTATTTTCTCTCTCTCTCATCCTTCCAAGCTTTAAATAGAGTCTCAGGTTCAAACCCACTCAAAACGAAGGCCATTGTTTGCTGGAGAACTCTGCTTGCTCTGAAGGCTCTGCAACCAGGAGTAACAAACTCAAGTAAAACTTTCTTCCAGCTCATCTTTCATTTATTTATACGTGTTGGTTAGCATGTATAAATATTCGCTATTACCAAAGCCCCAAAATAAGAGATTGTTAATACTGAGCATGCTCTTTAAAGTGTGTTAATCCACAGCAGTGGACTTTGGAAGACTTTTTGAAGGGTAACTCATCTCGTTTCTCTCTTCTCCCCCACCAGAACTGCAGACCAAACTGCTGGAACAATCATGGCTCCTTGTCTTTTGTCTGCACTTCCCTTTTGGAGATGAGCAGTAAACAAATGAAACAAAGTATAATTTGACAACGCAGACTCTTACTCAGCTACAAACCCAGAAGGTTTCTGCAGATAGAGAAAGAAGGCACGCCAGCACCTCCAAACAATCAGCTTTTTTGCCTGTTTGTACTAATGTTTTCCCATGATGAAAGTTAAAAGTTTCTTGTTTATGCACATCTGCTTTGACTGATAGCCCTATCTTGGCAAGGCACTAAAAACGACTGCTTCTGAAACTAGAGTTGGGCCCAGCCTCAGAACGTTCAGTGACTAACTGTCCTGGCTCGAATGCGAGAGCAGGTCTGGAGGATGGCAGATCAGGATGCTGCAAGGAGAGGTTTACAGCATTCCCTGAGCATATTCCTGTTCACACCTGCCCAACCCACGGAGAACATGTACGGAGATGATAAATAATGGGCAAGAGTCAGAAAAGCAAAGCACCCCAGAGGTGGTAAGCAAAGCAAGAATCAGACCCCAGCCTGCCTCATCGGTACGTCTAGCAGGTCATTTCCAGGCAGCGACGCACACTGCCTGTAAGTTGTATCAATGAAAGTGGTTGCAAATCAAGAACTCCCCAGTGAGTCACTCTGCGCACAAGTCTATTTGCCGGCAAGATTTCCTTTAACGGATCATGTTTCCAAAGCCATTAATGGCAGGACAACACAGCAGGTGTTTTATAATTAAATATGGCAAGATAACTCAGCAGGAGCAGTCAATGCACATTGCCCTCCCTCATGTTTATCATCATAAACCAGTTCTGCGTTCCAATTAAGCCATGCCCTGCTACCCAGCTCTCCTTTGCCCAGAGCCGGGCACGGGACTGGTTATCCCACACTGGAAAACATTTTAACAGCAGCGGAGAGATCAGCCCGCAATTTCACATTTCAATTTTACTGTTTATGCACTGTTTGGAGCATTACTCTCCCTCCAAAAAGTCAGTTCTATCAAAGCAAACAATGTTTACTCATGTCTGGTGTAGTTTTGACATACTTCAGAAAACAGATCGCATTTATGCCTCGTAGGAACTTCAGCAGATCAACACATTCAAAGCAAAGCATCTGGTGAGCTGGAGTCTGTTCCGACTGCTAGCGGCAGCACACGCTCCACTTGTTTTACGTACAACCCACTGCATTTGGAAACGCAGGGAAATCCACAAGGTCTGGGTTTGCATTGAAGATTTTCTTGGGTGTCAGCAGAAGCTGCCAAGACACACCTGTGGTTTCACACCCCCCCATACACAGGTCTCCCGGAGAGCCCTCACATCTGAGGTTCACAGGCAGGTGAATAAAAATGAGCAATAGGAAGCCCAGGAGCAACCATGCAGAACAGCAGAGCTTTAGTTTCATCAAAAAGCATCTCACACGCATTGACCTCTGCAGAAGACAGCTTTAACACATGCTGGGCCAGATTCTTGGCTGAATTCAAGCCCCTGATCCCTGTTCACACCAGTCAGGCCCACAAGCCCACGCATCTCCTCCACAGCTGGAAGCTCAGAGGAAGCAGGAACTAACAGCCCTCTGGGCTTCAGTCTCAAGTGAAGAAGTATTTAGTGGGACCATTACAAGTGGGCAACAGTCCACATTGCAACGTGATTCAGAAAAATCTCTTCCTAAGGGAATTCTCAGCCAAGAATAGGAAAGTAAGGCTGAAGGTCAACACAGAGGTGCCCTGGAAGAACCGCGCAGAGGAAGTTCCCATGGCCAGTGACAACAGCAATGCTGGAGTGAAAGAAAACTTCACATTCACAACCTGACTTGCAAGGGAGTTAATATCCTAGTTGGCTCCTCCTACGCTATTAAAACTGGTCTTTAAACCACACTCCTACAAAACACCCCAGATCAAGTCCCACGTACCTCACATGAAGCACCATGGCCTATCCTCTTCTCTACATGCTGCTCCTCCTCTTCATCAGGCGGTGGCTTGGCAGGCGGGGGTGGACGCTCTCTCTGTGGTTTAGAAGATCACTGTCAACTGCGTTGTGTTAAAGCACGTCCCCTTCTGCTTCCACCAACACTACGCCCACACTACTGGGAATGCAGCATGGTAAGGACCTCCTCAAATTAATCTGGGTGGAGGAGAAGTTCAGTCCTAACAACACAGAGCCTGACAATAGCTTCTGCCTCTCCTCCTCCTCCTCCTCTCCAGCAGGACACCGATTCGGGCAGAGAGCCCTTCCTGCAGATTCACGGTGCTGCAGTCCCGTGGATGGACTGCTGTGACAACGCAGACCACCCACTTCTGCTCCGCAGCAGCAGCACTGCACAAGGCCAGCTCGGACCCATGTGAGCACCAACTAGGCTTCCAGGAGAATGAAACTGCCGGGGTGGAAGGTGCTGTGTACACAGGTTTATTGCTTCATTACTTCAGCCGGTTCATTCAGACCCAGACTGGTAATCTCAATGGCACAGTGAAGGTCAGTAATGAACTCATGGGTAGAAAGGGAAGCCTCATCACTTGTGTCTTAATGAAACAATAACATGAATAAGTGATTCCAGAGGCACCTTTTATAGTGAAAAACCCTAGAGATCAAGAGACAATGCTGCACTGCATTCCTCAAACATCCCAAGATTGCTGGTGGGCAGCAAGAGCTGTCTCATCTTGTGAGAGCGCAACACCTCTCCAGGGCATCTTCTGCCCTGCAACAGCTCCATCTGATGGCAAAGCGAAAGATGGCTGAGGAGAACCGCTCGCTCCAAAAAACTCCAGTTTTGGGAGAAACTCCAGCAAGCTCCTGAAGCACGTCCCTCTTTCTTCTCCCTTTTCACTGCAGTTCAGCCTCTCATCTTTTCTTATTGGTGACAGAGCTGAGCTTATTTCACATCAGACACTAGTAACACAGCACAGTACGTAGAGGGATATAAATCACTGAGATTTAGTTAATAGGATAGTGCATCTTGTACAGCATCCCCTAAAGAGAGATCTGGCTGAAATGTCAGTCTTCTCAAGCTTTTGTCTCATTTTACTGTATTTACTAATAGCACAGGAAAAAGGATGCACCTCTCTGCAGAGAGAGGAAGCATGGTTACAGTACCACCAGCAGTTTAATTGTTCATTGCTGCTTTGCCTTTTGTCCAAAAATACATCTGTGGAGCAGGCTTTGTAAAACCAGCCAGGAAACAACCCCCGAAGCTGTCACAGCATGCTGCAAGGCCAGCATCCCATCTCCCCCATAGCGGCATTGCCTTTGATTTCTAAGGGGGCAGCAGATGCAGCTAACAGAAGGTGAGGAAGACTTCTCTGGAGGCAGTTCCAGGCGCTTTGCATTGCCTTGTAAAGCCTTGAGTACCCTCTACAGATCTCTGCAAGTAATACAGAAAAACGTTTCCACTGCTAACCAGTTTCCAACAGGATATTCTTCATTTCTTGTGAGCCTTCTCTTGTACAAAGCAGAGAGCAAGAGACAAGAAAAACGCTCCATACACAGGAGTTTCCAAAGCTTTCTTCCAGACAACAAGTTAGCCCTTCAGCTAAATGCAATGGCCTGAGAAACTAAAACTCACCGGCACCAGTATTCAACTGCCAGAAAACAGAAGGATGCAACACTAGGTGACAATCAGTCATGTGGAGGTGGCTACTTGTGGGCAATGCAACGGAGGTTATGTGAACAGGCCAGCGAAAAAGGAGAGGTACCTGTCTGCTCTAATCAAAGTCAGGGATGAGCTTAAAGATTTCCTCAACCTTGGCAGCCTGCTGCAAAATCATGAAAACAGTGGTAAGTTACCCATCCTTCTAAAGCAAGCAGAGATGAATGCACATAGCTACATACAGGCCTGACTCCGGCTGCTTTGAGACCAGTTGATTCTGCTTCCTTATTCACAGACTCTCGATCTGAAGATCTCCCACTGGCAAGGCTGTCCAGGGAGTGGCAGGACGTTGCATTGTATAAAGCTTCATACGGGCTCTCCTCTTCTGGGTTCACATCAAAATCTATGATCAGTTCTGTCACTGCTTTCTCCACATCACCTGGGAGAGGAAGAGACACACAAGCACATCACTCGGGGTTTCTGCCCTTGGCAAGGCAGCTCTTGCAGGAAGGAGAGTGCAGCGGCTGCCGTGTTGCATGGGAGCGTACCCTGAGATATCCGGCACACGGGATCAGTGGCTGGAACAAGCGGTGCCTGAACAGTCTTGTCTGCAGCTTTGGCACTTTTCTTCCCAATCGTGTAATCTGCAATGAGGTGGGGCGACAGGGTCAGTTTACATCAATCTAGTTTTACATCCACTTCAGCACATGGTACCTCCTCCCTTGTGGATGGAAGACCAACTGTCAGCTTATTAAGTCTCCAGAAAATAACCAAAGCACATTATTAAAACTTGCAGCTCAGATCCCAAAATAGAGGCAGGCAGCCTCTTTAAATCACATGCGCAAGGTTAAGGATGGTTCTTTGAACTTTTACAGAGTCTTTAATCAGAAAGCTGCAAAGCTCCTGTATAGACACATCATCAAGGAGCAGATTGTTTCACGCTGTAGACACAAGCTACATCACTGAACAGAGCAGTCTGGTCTTCTGGAGTCGTAAAACAGAGAAACCAATTCTAGCTGTGGTCCCCTAACCCGAGGCAAAGCCAGAACCACTAAGCTTGCAGGAAGAAAGTCAGCCAGAGACACCTCATGCAGCTAGTTCACCTACAGCAGCAAACTAACAGCGTTTATCTGCAAAAACTTCAGTTTTAAAGCCTACCTTTGTCTTCAACTTCAGAATAGAGATAATACCTACGAGCCTCACAGGCAAAGCTTAATTAAAAGTCTGCAAAGTGCTTTGAACCTGTGTAGCTCTCAAACACTAAGCATGAATAATGCACACCAGTTGCATACGCTTCTGATCTTTCTCCCCACAGCTGAGAGGAAATTGAGATAGCGTAATTACAAGGTATGAATTTAGCTAAGACGCCACATTTCATTCTCTAACTTGGACAGACACAATGGGCCAAGCTCCTTTATAAACCACAAGTAATCAAGGCCTTTTCTGTAAATCTCATCTGCAAAATCCATGCCCAAACTTCAAAATGAAGTGAGGACTAGGATGTAAGACCCACGGATGACTATTTGCCTACACAGACACATAAAGGACAGTTAATCCAAAACCATTTCTAAAGCTATTACTCTGCATTCTGCAAGCATATTTAGGCTATCCTTAATTTTAATTAACTTCTAAAGTGAGTTAAACAAAGCTGAATTAAGCCCATTTAAACTGTAAAAGTAACACTACACTCCTTCAGTAAAGGAGCTAATCCCCCTAAATGCCCCCTGCAAACATTTGGTCTGCAGACAGCTCACCCGAGCATTTAAGCATCACTGCTTCCAACAACTGTGAGATTCCCACCGAGGGACCTGACCTGGCCTGAAGCTGCTTTGCTTTCAGCACTTCCCAGAACTAGAGAACAAAATCCTGTACTCACACTGGCACAACTGGCACCCCAAACTTTTCCCTCCTGCCTGCAGACAGAGCTACATCACTTACCTTCGATGAGAGCTGCTATGTGTTGGCTTTTCTGAGAAGGAAGTTCCCTCACAATATCCAGAGCTGTCAGGCCTCTGTTATCCTTTATGGTCACATCAATACCTATGGCAATAGGTGAAAGCAAGAGTATTTTCTAACTATGTGCAAATTCAGGTCTTTCATCGAGTCACATCCTACATTTGTGATCATCACTGGGGTGAGTTAGAAAATGCTCTACAGAGGCAGACCTAAAGCCAACACCAAGAGATAACCTCTCCTACAACCCTCTCCGAGGAACTTCTGATAGCTGGTTGGAGACACATGTTGCCACTATTAGGGGGTTTCCTCAAGTTCTGGGCAAAGGGATCACCACGTTATTGCTTCGAAAGGGGATCACTCTCTCACCTGCAGCCAGCAATATTTGTACCACATCTGTCTTGCCAAACAAAGCAGCTTCGTGCAAAGCACTGCCTTTTTCAGTCTGCAAATTAAATGGAAAAATAGCATGAAGCTAGACAGTGGGGAATGGTGATGGAGGCATGTTTTTGAAGGTTACAGAAGCAATAAATACACAGCATCACATACAAAGTGTGAGCAACAATATCTACAGCTGAGGATAGACTGTCGATATCCTTACAACGCTGAGAATTTGGAATGGAAAATGGGAATGGTCTCTTCAGAGAGACATGCAGGCCCAGGTTAGAGACCAAGAAAGGACTTTCTACAGCTTAGCCAGAGGTCATGTCCTGAAAAGGTAAAACAAGACCACCACACATAAGCTACTGCTGTGGAAACCGCGTACTCTCAGGTGGCTTGATAGGAAGAGACTCAGTTTGCCTCCATCGCTGTCAAGGGCTCACAGTATTGCAGGGCAGAATAGCTTAGGCAAAAAGGCTTTTTCTCCTCCCTTGCTATGCGTCTGGGGCTCTTTCTCCAACTAACAAGCAGGCGTGAAGCATGCACAGCACCAGAATCCCTCTGAGCAGCTTCTCGGAGCAACCAAGAGCTGAACAAACAGTCCAGAGGAAAACAAAGCTATTGCTCATCTTTCTTAAACGATCCCTTTGGGAGGGTTGGGTGGAGCTCTCTGTATCATGACCACAGGGGTTCTCCATCCCCCAGCAATCAGACCAGCCCTTCACACACAGACACGCCAGATACCTGATAGTTGCTATCCATGCCAGCATCCAGGAGGACATGGACTACAGTTTTGTGACCATTCCTAGCTGCCAAGTGCAGGGGAGTGTGTTTCTTAGTGTTGCAGCTTAGAAGATTGGGGTGAGCATTCAAGAGCATCTTCACGACTTCCAGCCTCCCGTAGAGCGCAGCCAGGTCCAGGGGAGTCTCAAACTTGTTATTGCGCATGGTGGGGTCAGTCAGCTCCTCCAGAAGGACCTTCACCACCTCTGTGTGGCCGTACTGCGCAGCGCAGTGCAGCGCCGTCTCGTTGTCGTTGTTCTGCGGGGTCACAAACGCCAGCGTGTCAGAACAGGGGAGAACAGAGCTGCTCCGTGCCTCGCTCAAACCATTGAAGTTTAAATGCAAAAACAAGACAAAAAAAAAAAAGCAATTGGGAAGCCGAGAGCCCAGTCTGAAACAGAGCCCAGAGCACTGTTTTCACCATCTCACTAGCCATTTACCGGGCACAGACATCCCCTCATGAACTCACCAACCGACCCACCCAGTAAAGGTTCCAAAACATTCAGAACAATAAGGTTTACTCAGACATGGGAAATCTGCTCTACGGGAGATCGGTGCTACTCATGGAATAGCCTGCTTTCAAAGCACTGGCATCAAAATCAAGGGACCACACTAAAGCTGAAGGGACTGTTGAGCTGTATGTGGATTCCCATTAATTCTGCTAGCACTGGGGGAAGGCAGTCTGTTGTTTGTTGGCAACATCTCATACTTTGGAGTGCCACAAAAATAAAAGGCTGCAATATATGACAGGCAAGCTGCAGCATGAATTCTATCTGCTGTAGCTTAATGGCCATCATTTTAGATTTAAACTTCAATTGTTTCAAATCCTACTTATCCTGATTATAACAGTCCTTCCACCTCTGCAATTCTGAAGCTCGCAGGCTGCCCGGTTTAGAGAAAGAGTGCATGAAGTCATATGCAGTTTGTAAATTAGAAAGCAGCGCAATTAGATCACTCCACTAACAAACCCTTGTAGTCAAGGTCTCAGGTCAACTGAGGGAAGAGATGTCTAAGCAACAAGAGAACACCTCCACAGTGAAAGCCAGATCCAATTAATGCATGCAGCATCTGTCAGGTTAAAAATCAGCAATGCCAAGCACCGAAAGGCAAGCAACCGAAGACATTTCACTTGCAGGTGCAAAATAGGAACTTAGGCAGATTTAAAAGAGCCCTTTCTCAAATTAAATTCAGCTCAAGTTTCTAGTTTTACTACTGTGTGTTATACACAGAGGGATTTCTATTTAAGGGTTTTAGAAACAAATACTTATCTAACAATTTCACCCAAAAAACTTTAGTACAAACTGTTACACACTTCAACTGTAGCTGAACTTTGGTTGAATTGGTCATTTTAAGAACAGTTCCCATTAAAAAAAACAAAACAGAGAATCTGCTTGTCTTGATGGAGTTAGAAATACTACTTTAGAAAGTGAATTTGATCAAAAAACTTTCCTTTTTGCTTTGAGAGCACATGCGCTTTTTTGGATACCAGCTTGTAGGAGCATTCAGTATTTTGCACCATTTCACCACCACACTGCAGAACTCGCTCTGCTGTACAAAGTACTTTAATCCTATTAACGTGTTAAGTCATTCTAGGGATTACAGGAGTCATGCATGCACACTCCCATTTGTTTTTTTCTGCTATTTGCATCATTTTTCAGCCACGTGAAAAGCATAAGGGAAGCGAGGGGTTCTGGAGAGGTTCTCTGCAGCTTGTACAGAAGCAAGGCTAAGGAAGCAGCAACAGCCACATGCAAAGCAAGATATTTCACAAGGTAAGGAAAGCACGGCATCACTGTTAGCACAGAAGCTCAGACAGCAGGCTCTGTGCTCGGAGTGGCAGAGGCAGCCATGGTGAAGGAAGGCACATACAAGTGGACAGAAGCTACTGTAGAATAAAGAAGTCTGCACATAAAATACACATACGGAGCAAGAAGGGGAGAGAACAGAGAGCTACAGAGATTACACCTTTCAATCAGCTTAAGGTGCTGGTCTCGAGGCATTTAAAAGGTTGGTAAATCACATTATTCTCATTTGACATGGAAAGGAACCCAGGTATTGGTGAGACCACGACCCTCAGCCTGCCCCACAGCACGAGGGAGGCTTGCTGCCCATTTCTGCAGCAAGAGCAGAAACCCCAGCCCGTCAGCAGCAGCAGGTATCTGCCAAAGAGCCATGGGGAGTATGCACTGCGCACGCCACGCCAGCCCTGGCTCCAGAGGATTTCCCCTGCTAGGACTGTCCCCCTCTCATCCCTCCCTGGCACAGAGACCTTGTCCCTCAAGGGTGCTTTAAAGCACGCAGCAACTCCAAACACCTGCCTGGCGGCTCAGAAATGGGAACATCACATCCTTTAATAACATAATTGTTGAAGACTTCCCCCATCTTCACTGCAATTTAGTCTAATTTTCCTTAAGCAGGTCGGGGCTCTGAGGCTCAGGATGAAATCCCCGGACTCTCCTCCTGCAACAGAGATCACCAGGTGGCAAACTCGTCATTACAGCAAGTCTTTCCCCATCTCAGACTACATACTGGAAACTCCCAGAATTGCATAAGTCTTTATTGCCTCCATTTTATGCGAGCTCTGAGCAGCCAAAAAGGAGCCGTTTGAGTTTGCCTCCTTTCCCCACATCGCCTCTCCAAGCACAAACTGGAGCAGAGCCTGAACAATGAGCATGAGCACTCAGACATACGCATTTATCGGAGATGGAAAAAGAAAATGCCCTTCCAGCAGCCAGAAGGCATCTGAGTTCAAATTTCAAAACTTCAGAAAAACAGAGCGCTCAACAGGGCCCAGGGGCTGCATTCTTGCAGGAGAGCCAGCACCCCCCAGTTCACAGCTGGGAGCGAGAAGCTGGGCTCATACGATGCCCGCCTACAGACCACAAACCGGGAACACAAGCAGAAATGTCTCTGCTTTCATATGGGCTCCATCAAATTTTTCAAGCCCTGGTAACTAGGTACCACATAGCCTTTATGCTCCTCATCACACAATAAAATGGAGCATCTACAGCTCCTTTACATAGATCTGTCTGCGCTCCTGTCCTCAGCGCACCGTAAGAGGGCTTCGATTCAAGAAAGGGAGACTTGGTTTAGATAAGGGAAAGTTTTCTAACTTTCTAACCTGCAAAGATTCGAATGGTCAAACAAACTGCTAAGGCAGACTATAGAGCTGTCCCTCTCTGAGGGTTTTGAGAAGCTGCTAGACAAACACTGCTCAGGAACAGTTTAGGCAGAGTTGATCCTCCCTCAGGACAGGGACCAAACGATCTCTCAATCATACCAGCCCTATCTTCTAGGACTCTGTAGAAACCAGTGATGCGACCGGAGCACAGAGCAGGGCTGCCCTGCTAACACCCACTCCAGGAAGCTTCAGTTCAAGGCAGGCCAAAATGAAGGACAAAAAAATAAGTTAAGCAAAACCCAGACTTCACCAGGAGGTGACACCCAAGGCACATCACAACCTCGGGCACAAAGCAGGCCAGAAGAGTTGGCTGGAGCTGCCCGCTCAGCTGTACCACCTCCCACCCTCCTTTTGCACCACACAATTCCCATCGGCATCCCGCAGGGCTCTGCCAGGAGCCGAGTAAGGATGAACAGGTCCCCTTGCTTCCTACAGGTGTCCAACAATGCCAAACACATTTCAGAAAAAAAATTGATCCCCATATGCCCAACAAGCTTTCCGGAGCTCTGCGGGTGGGTTCGCTGCCCGGTTTCATTTGCAGACTCCAGATGGTAGGCTTCCACTTTTCTCAACAGCCCATTTAGATTTATAGCACTTTAAACTCCATCTGCATGATTCATTTGCTTCCAATTAAAAAAGACAAAGGTAGTTTGTGCAGTGCACAAGTGTGAGCTATGTGACAGCTTTCTCTGAGTTGGCTCTGCTCAACTGGTTGGTTCCTTCATAGAAATCAAATAACCAAATTCAAGACAGCAGCAGTTACTGCAGCAAAGTTGCTGCTCCATCTCTTAATTTTGCTTCTATCATTCGCTTCTCAGAAGCCCCCCAGGCCTCTAACAGACTTCTTGCAAGGACCACCTATTCAACAAAAGATGTTCAAATCGAAGGGGCACAGAAAGAAGCTGTCAACTATTTCTTTAACTTTTATGAGAGCAAGAAGCTTCTGGTATTCTTATCTCTTCCTCAACGGAACATTAAATTGTAGTCCAGCCTTCTATAAATGCTTTCCCCCTCTTCTAAATATCCCAAAATTTCTGGAAAGATGAAACATCTCGCTTCGATCATTTCTGTCTAACATCCCATCCCACGTGGGAGCTGGAAGCACCAAATAAGCAAGGACTCTTACACTTTGCACCTGGACATTTTTGGATTCTCCCACCTGCAGCCAGGCTATTGAGAAAACACCAGGCTTTGCAGGAGAGGTATGATTCCACATGCTCTTCATCAAACCTGGTCAGAGACTGGTGGAAAGCTGGTCAGAAGTTGTGATGAACCCAAAAGGCTGTGTATAAATCCTATCTCTCCTTAAAACCAGGGCAAAGTTTTCAAAAACATTAGCCTTGTTCTCAAGAGCCCTACAGCCCTCTTGATAATTGAGCTGAGAGTTTAAAATAACGCACTTGTCAAAAATCAAAAATCCAAAACAAAATACTTAAAAATCCACAAGAAAACAAGCTCAATTTCATCTTTATATTCCTTCTTCATTGAACATTTTAATGCTGAAGTGTAAAACTTCACTCTGTCATTGACAACGATTTAGAAAGCTCCTTTCAGGCAGTCGAACCCCTTGACTGATATGTTTCCACAGAAGACATTTGTTGCTATAAAATTCCCATCTGTATTTTTGTAAAAATCACCGATATGGATGAGCTTCATAAAAATGTATTTGTGCTTAAAGAGGTATGCACTGGAGTATTTCCCGAAATAGAAGTCTGCAAAAACAAACCTAATTCCGAGCGGTTAGCAAGCTCAGGAATTTTCAACGTGTGTTTTTAAGGTGCTGCAGATCAAGCAGAGTGAAAGTTTTAACCAAGCTTTGAGAGACAAATCTGCCATGGATGGCTGGATCCAAAACAATTGGCTGGAAGCAGCTGTGGTGTGGTGGCTTACAGCAGAAGCATCTCATGATAAATCAGCAGACTATTATGCCATCCCTGGCCTGCAGTTTCGCTATAAATAAAAATGAAAAATGCTGTCTGAGAAAACACCACCAGGAACCTTCTTATCTGCTTCCTCAATTGCTCAGCCTTGGTGCATCTTAAGTGCTGATGTCATGCCTTTTTGTAGCTGAAGAACAACTAAGAGCAAGAGAGGAGCAAAATAGGCAAGAAAACAGGAACAGCAGACTAGGGCTGAAGGGTCAGACGACACAACAGACTTCACATCAAAAAAGAGAGACTGATGCAATAAGCAGGACATGAAGGACTTGGGAAGGGGGGCACGAACGTTACTGCCTTCCCTTCTCCCCACCACCACCACAAGAATTAACTGTCCACTCAAACAACAAATACAGCATTATGCATTTTGTAGGAGAAAAGGCATGAAATTCACTCCAAACAGCCCACAGAGAAAACGCACTCATGTTTAAGCAGGAAAAGGAATGTCCTTCTTTGCATTTATCAACAACATTAGCGCACGAAACACAACCTGAAGCATTTTAATTGAAATAACATTACCTTTTGGAAGTTGTCCAGCCAAATCAAGCAAACTGACCGTCACCGTGAGTCCTACAAGGCTAAGCAATGAAGGAGCCCCCAGGAAAGTAAGGAAAAGCTTCCCTTAAATTATGTTTCTATAACTGCTTTGAAGAAAGAAACCCACAGTAAATAAAAGGTCACATTTTACTTTTCCCCAAGCAGCTGCAAACTGAACAGGTATTACTGCAACTGGATGACATTGCACCTGGAAGCACGCGAGTGCAGCTTGGAGTAATGATGCAGTGAAATGCTGACAGCAAAGTACACACCTTGGCATTGATATATGGGTCAAAGGGGCCGTACTTTTTGAGTTCTTTGATCTCAAGAGCATTCTACAAAAAGGAAGAGGAAAAAGAAAAAAATGTGATAATGAAATGGGTGAGATATAGCAACAAAGCAATGGGTGACTCCCAAGGGGTGGAAATGACAGAACACAGCATCTTGTTCCAGTCAAAGCCATTAGCAGCCGATTCCTGTAACCCGAACCACTGTGCATTCCATTTACAAGACTCCAAACACAAGCAGCACAGGCTATTCGGCTGACTTTTCTCATTTAAAAAGGTTCCTACTAAACAGATGTTAATGAAACATTATCTGGAAGGATTACACTCAGCTTTTAATCTTTCACAAAGGTTTCCCCTATACCTGTCCTACTCGGAGCAGAACAGTGTACACTCAGGGCCCTCAGTCAATGCTTATCAGACTGACTGTAAGCAGCTAACTACACTTCTCAAATCTGTTTAAGCACACTGAATGCCTGCAGCTGTGCCTGAAGACATTATTAAGCACAGCCCCAAACTAGAAAATTATCAGACATTAAAACACACACTCTTAGTTATTTCTGCTCAGTTGAACAGCATTACCACCATATTTTTCATTTCGTGATGCTTTAGAAGCAACCATTTCGCCTTGGACCAGCCTCGTACATCAAGTCAGCTGTCTTACACTGAGGAACAGAAAACCTAAGCACTGCACTTGGTCCCCAACAAAGTGTAGCTGGAAGCAGGATTAGGACTCCTAAACCGACTCTGAAGGGAGACGCTTCTCAGTTTCTGAAAAGTATAAACTGCAGATCAAAATTAACCAGCAGAAACTCAGCTCCCAGCTGCTCACCTTGACTCTGACAGATTTTGCTAAACTTGAGCCATGAGCACCTGACCTACTTGTGAATTAACTTCTGAATGAATATACATTTTTAGCCTTGCGGTACTAAGGCAGACAAACTTATTTTAGTTCACCGCTCTCCTCCTGGATGAAAACTCGAGTGGTTTAGGAGTCGATTCCCAGGGACATTAGATATTCCTGCCTCAGGGACAGGACAGCCAAGCACTACCGATGCTTTAACCGTCCGATTTGGATCATAGAATCATAGAATGGTTTGGGTTGGAAGGGACCTTAAAGATCACCTGGTTCCAAGCCCCCTGCCATCAGCAGGGACATCTTCCATTATCTGTTACTGCATGTCTGCCCAAGCTGGCTCAGCCACAAGTGGTTCAGTAACACTGCTCAGCTGGCTGCACTCAGTAAACCAGTCCCTTTACCCAAAACTCTGAAACAAAAGAAATATTTGGGTCTTCTAGCAGCAGCATTTCAGAAGTTCCCTGGAATTGTAAGATACCTGCTGACTTCCACAGGGCAGTTACACGGGAGCCAGCCCTCCGAAGTGGACACAGCAGCTGCTGTACGGAATAGCCATCTCACACTAATCAATGCCTCTGCATCCGAGACCAAACGCTATCAGCTTGACAAAGGGAAGAAATCCACCAGATTATTTTTCTTGCCTGACTCGAGAAAATAATTCTTTAAGATTAAGCTAGGGAACTAACTGGGGGCAAGTAAGGTTAAAATTATCTTACAACTTACAAATTAGTTAACTGGAGCAAGTGCTAGAGACAAGCCAGGAGAGTAGCTAAGAGAGCATGGCCAAACAAAGACTAAATAAAGCTGCTTTGATTAGTTCCCAAAGAAGGGAGCCAATGTATCCTTCAACAGAACCAGAAACCTCAGCTATCCAGCAACTGAAAGGAAAAACTATGGGTTAGTTTTAGAAGCCCAGTATGAAAGCAGGAGACCACTCCCTAAGCCTTGAGTGGTTCTCATTTATATATCGCTATATAAACATACATATCTTACTCATTGAACTACTAAATCAGATCTGGAGGTGCTTTAGGCAGTGCCCTTCTTATCCCATTAGCAAGTAGGACTTTATAACCCCTGCTACTAATTTGTGAAGGGTCAGGACTCAGCTGAAGTAGTCTCTCCATCCGAGGGAAGCGATTCAAAGATGTATTAGAGAAAAACAATCAGACCTGCTCATTCACTTTAGTATGCGAAGGTCCCTGATGGATGAGGAGTTTCACTATGTCTGCGTCTCCTTTCCAAGCTGCCAGGTGAAGAGGGTAACAGCCTTTACAGTCTGCTACGTTGGTGAGCGCGTCATTCCTCAGCAGAACTTCCACCACATCCCTGCAAGAGAGGTAAACTTGATTCCATAAGATATAGTTCATCTTAACAGGAGTACTTCAGAGATCCTCTTGAAATGTCATTTTAAAGCATTCCTATCAAATGCTGCCCAAGCCAAAAAAAGACAGACAGCCAGCCTGCTGAGAGGAGCTCAGGAAAGATCTACATTACCTTCACACTAATGGGGCTGAATAGGGACTGAAGTCATCCGCAAGCCACTCTGGTGAAAAGCGAACTGCACCAGCACAATGAAGATGAATAAAGATTTTAAGTCTATTTAATTTCTCAATATCTTAAGTAGCAATGAACAATACAAGATTTACCACACTGAAGACTGGAGTTACTTCAAAATGTAATATGCACGAAAGAAAATTTGAAGTGGTGCAGGCACAGCAACACACCGGACACCAGACAGACTGCAGAGGACTGCTGCTGGGGGAGCCACCTTTAGTATGGTGTTCTCTCTTACCCAAATTGCTTATAAATAACAGGGTGGTCAAAAAACTCAGTGTTTCACCAAATCTTTAGAGAGAGGTCTGATCATACCGTGCAGCAGCCAATGCCTCTACAGCTTCACGGCACTGATGTTCTTCACCTCTTGGCCTGAAGATGGTGTAGTGCTGCACCATCGCCACATTTTCAGTGCAAACAGCATTAGATTGGTGAACGAATTCCACCCAAACGGTAGCTTGTAAAGCACATGGCATCCCCTGTGATCAAAGGCATTGTAAGATGACTCACTTATGACCATTCAAAGCAGCATGGTGCAGTGGGGTGTATCCAGTACTGTCAACGCAGTTCACATTTGGCCCTCTCCAGATGCTGCAAGACAGAAAATGTACAGGGAACACTTAGACATACACCAAACAGACAGACAGCGGGCAAGGACGAGTTTCAGCAGAGTTCTCGCACCGAGCTGGTTATCTGGGAGAAAACCAGTGGCTGGACAGCTGTGGTTAAGAGCCGTAATACAGAGCACAGACGGCACAGCACTGCGCCGAGCAGAGGGGTTAGTGTCACAAAGAACACAGCCGGTACAGGGATCCACTACTTGACGCTTTATCAGACCATCCTGGCTTCAAATCAGAGCTCCCATGTTCTCCTGCTACTAGACATCTTTCAGCCACATATGCGTTTTTCAAAAACCATCTTCAGAGGAACATATGTTTATCAAAGTCAACCACCAGAGACAGTAAACCACCAGGCCACCGCTAATTCACACCCCTCTGCAGGATTTGGATGGGTCTGGGAAACACTCTCCCCCCCATGGCAAGGGTCACTAGGGCTGTAAGTCAAAGGCTGTGGGATACAGAGCCTGGTCCGGGTCACCAGTGGGATTCCACACTGACTCCATACTGCCCAACAATCATTTCCATCTGAGAGCTGTTGGCAGTCTGTATGAAAGAGCAGGTGGTCCCAGAGCACTTCCGAGAATACTGTGAACTTCCCCCCCTTGTTCAAAAGTCGAACACCAAGGATTTAAGGATTAACCCTGTAGAGGATTAATCTTCCCTCCAACCCCTGCAAGGTGTCCTATTTAAAATCACTGGAGAAACGCACATGTAAGAAACTGGCACTGCTCTTGAACTTGCTGTTAGAGGAGTTTGGTTTCTAGTGCCACCCCTCACCAGTGCTACCACCCTGTCCCATAAAGAGTATGGGAACTCAAACCAATACGTTCTTACAAGCAAATTGAAACCCTTCACCTTTCCTAAAGGCAGCCAAATCCATTACAACCCATCATTCCTCGTATGCTGGCCTGTTTTAAACTTCTGACTTTCAAGAATTATACAAGATTTATTACAAGCCTAGACAATCATGCTTTTGCTAATACAGTACATTTTCCTGCTTTGTTTTCCTTAACTAGGGGTAGAACTTAACAGCACCCTCTAAACCCCATCTTAATTGGTTTAAAATAAAGTCAACTGTTGCTCTTTATGAAGTAGGCCTTTCCTGATCATTTCATTTCCTCCCCAGCATGTAATTGCTCCAACTCATTGTACAACAGAGGCAGCTTGAGCAGCAACTAGATTTTCTAAAACAACAGTCATTATTAGAGGGCTCCTAGCCAGAAAAAACTCCATACCACAGCGTATAAAAGCAGCAGGAAAGGCACCAAACCAACAGGAATCTCATATAGACCAAGTGGAAATTCAGAGGTAAACTAAGCGGTACGTTTCAGGTGGGATTCAGGAGCACACTCTGAAATGGAAAGTCTCTCCCCTCCAATCGACTCCTGACCAGGCAGAGCATTACCAAAGGCTTTGCAGTCCCTAGACAGACACGAGCTCCATTAGAGGAGAGGCAGCTAAGGGGAAACTTTATCCAAGAGGACAGGGAAGTAAGCCACTAAATCCACTTTGCAAAGGATCAGCCGTCTTATCCAGAAGCATTCCCGCACACCACACACCGTCCTGCGCCGCAGAAGCAAACCGCAAACCAATGCGTGCACGCAATGCATTCCAAGTGCTACTCGCATCATTTGCTGGATGACGGCTTAAAGCATGTCCAGAAGATATGCAAGACACCAAATAAACGATTAGATTGAGTCCCGGAGGTGCCCTACCCCATCCAGCTGCCACAGCCCTGAAGCATAAAGGGCATCTGAGTAATTCTCTGGCTCTGGTTTATTTTTGGCAGTGGGATCACGCAGTGTGGTTGCCCAAACAATTTATTGCTGGATTGAAAGTGGCAATTAATGGTTAAAACTAGTGCCAGCAAGACTTGTGTGCAGTCTGAAGCAGTTACAAACACTGCGCCTGAGCATCCCCTTGCACAGGCTGCTAACCTGACCAAAGCCAGAGAGTCCAGTGGTTTTACATATTAAACAGAGCTGGGTTTTGATGCTGAGCTCAAAAAGCTTCAGGGTGTACATATGAAAAAACAGTAGCATGTTATACAAATAATTCCTTCAGCTGAAGTTATGAAGTAAGGAAAACCAAGGCTGGTGGTGTACTGGGCGTAAACCAAAGCACTTGCTCCAAGGGACCCAGCCAGTCGGCAGCACGACTGGGGCCTGGAGCCCAGCATACCCATCTCCACCAGAACGTGGTCTCCCTGTGAGAAAACACACTTCCATAAACTTATTCAGAAATTTTCTGGTTAATGCTTTAGAGTAAAATGCAAAGTTCACTCAAAGGTTTCAGGGGAGGAGAAACGCTGAAGTCCAGGATGCGGCTGGTTCAACGGTGAGCACTGGGTACTGCAGAAATCAATGGCTTGGATTTGAAGATCTTTAAAAAAAAAAAATCTGCTGTGTCCTTTCCTCCCCCTTGCCCTTTTATTCTTGCAAATAAAGAAAGCTTTTATCAAAGAAAGGTCAAATAATCCAGAAGTTCAGACTGAAAGGATCCTAGCTGTTTATATTTAGATGTGAGGACTGCAGTGAGTATATCAGTTTCTTCCCTCCTCTTCCTCTCCAGCTCTGCTAGGGAGGCCACACAGTTCTCCTGAGTTAAAAGAAACCAAAGCTTTCACCCCATTTTTATTTATGCAGTGCATAACATTAAAGCGACAGACTAAGATAAGATCCTGAACTTCTCATGTTAGATCTAAACACAGGAAAAGAACTCTGCTCTGATCTGCAGAAACTAGGAGCTGGAATAACACTAGCATGGGAATGTTCCTTCTGAAAGACACCGCAACTTCTCCAGAGCACCAGCGGCAGCGCCTGGTGTATGGGATTTCAGTGACATCTCAGGCACAATCTGTAGGAACTGTGGCAGAACAAAGCACAGGCTCTAATCTAAAATATTAGGAAAAGCCCCTCAGACCACTTCGGGAAGGAGGTGGGTACTCTGGGATTGAAATTAGATCTTCTGAAGTGAGGATTTTGTCAGGTCTTTTCAGGCCAGACAGGGAAACTTAGAGAGGTTCAAGTCAACAGGAACAACTCCGGAAGATTTTGAGATGTCAGGCACATGGCTACACGGAGCCCCGCTCAGCCAGTCCCACTTCGGGAACTCTTAGCAGACAAATAAATAAGGAATAGTGTCTCACTGCTCTTCGTTCAGCAAAGCGAGAGCAGATTTCACAACACTGAGAACAATAAAAATTACACATTAAGAATCGAGTGAGCAGGTTTTATGGAAACACAAAAATCACAGCAGGGAAATCGGGAGTAGGCAGCAGCTGGGCAGGCTCAGGCCCTTTCAGAGGGATTTCCCCTTCAAGTCACCAACCTCCCGCTGTGCTGGGCACAGATGCCCACAGCAAGGCCAGGGTCTGCATCTCCACATCGAATATATCACCTCCAACGGCTTGCAGATGAGAAACGAAACGAGAAAGAGATCACGCAGTGGTAAAGCCTGAATCATTTTATCTTAACAATACCTACTTACAGACCTGTTGCCCTGATCTTACAAGGCAGAGGGGAACTAATTCAAAACAGAGCAGCATAAACGTTGCTCTCGGCAAACACAGACAAGACCGAACAAAACGCAGGAAATCCTAACGCCAGACCAAGGCGATACTCTGAGACTTGCAGCCTGGGTGTAGATGACGACTCTGGAAGCCACAAGGGCTTTACTTCCCGCTGTGCTACATACCCTTGGCAAAAGCTCTACTTCCAGACCTCAGTTTTCCCTATCTGTAAAATGGAAACACAGCACCAAGAGAAGCAGGGTACAAAGCCAAGTGCTATCTATGTACACTGTGATTTTGTGCTGTTTCTGATTAAACAGAAAAACAGATCCCTGCACAGGAAGGAGAATGCTGTAAATACAAGTTTCCAATAAAGCTCAGCGAAGGTCTGGAGCCAATTCAACTACCACGCTGTTTGCTTTCTTTCCCCCCCAATTCCTCAAAACCCCCTCACATCAAAGAGGGGGTTTGCTTTTGTATCAGCAGTCTCCATTATGAAAGCAAAGTTCTCAAATGATTACCTAGATTTCACCCCCATTTCGCTGCACCAGGGTAGTATTCTAATGACGTTTCTGATGTATCCGATTCAGGCAATTAAGACTAAACATTAAGGACATAAGAAAAGGTCTGAACATTGTCAAATCTGCTCTGTTTACACTAATTCTTGCGCTCGGTTTTCTCTTGCTCCATGATTCAGCAAGTGCTGTAGCCCTTTAACTAAAGCTTCCTGTTTGTAAAAATTGCTGAATAAACCACATTGCTTCAGGTCACGACAAAAGCCAATGGTTCCTTTAAACGAGACCATATTTGTCCTGTCGCATTTCCATTTATTTCTTCCTGATCGTCGTAACTGTACTCACAAAACCACCTGAGGCCAGTGGGCTAGAGCAAAGGCCAAGTCACCTAGGGAACAACTCAATGTTTTCAACTCAAAGGATGAGCACCAGAGCCGATTTACAGTCTGACTTCTCTGGGTTACAGCAGCACCCAGAGACTTCAGGGACCAGCGCTCCGAGGTGTGCAGAGCAGACAGCAGAGGCCATTGCTACCCCTGTGTATTTATATACTCAATACTAAAGACAAAAGGCACAATACTAGCGTGCTATAGCTGCCTTGGATACGAGAATCCAGTGCACACGAGTCGCTTGGCCCAAGGTCACAAAGGAAGTTTAAAGTAGCTGAGAACTGGTCCCAGATGTTTGGAGACTTGGTCCAATGCCTTAGAGACAAAGTGTCACGCGGGCAGTTCAGGCTGGAGGCAGATTAACTCCTCGTCCATTGCCCGGAGGACATCACCAGCAAGTCCATGCACACAGCTATTAATATCCATACAACTGCTAGATTCCTGCAATACTCACACAACCCTCTTTTGGGATTTCCTGCCTATAGACGGGCAATACAAACAACTCCAATGCTTAGGTTTAGAAAGTGCACTCGAACGCTTCTGTGGAGCGAGGAGGACAGCGCTACGCCTGTCTCACCAGTGGGAAGGGGTACGGAGCGGTACGGCTCACAACGGAGCTGCGACCCCTTTCCTTGCATGCCTCAACCACTAGATAATACAACAGCCTTTCCAAAAATAAACTGCTGATGCAAGGCTGGAGAAGATTAAAGCAGAATATTCCTGGGGCGGGGGAGAACGTGGCTAGATCCCAAGCAATACTTTCTCAGCCCCTCTTGGCAGGCGTCAGGACAGACCGTGGAGAGCAACCTGGTGAGCTTCCAGCTATCGGCGAGGCTGCACAGGAAGCCAGAGCAGTGATCTTCGGCTTCTACACTCCTCAACTTCTCTGTCCAGATTCTTCTTTGCTATAAAGAAAGCAGTCAGCTGGGATGATTGCTCCTACCCAAAACTCCTTGGCTGCCCTCTTCCTACACTCTTGTCCGCACTATCATCCTCTTACACCTTTCACATCCCCCTCTTCGCTCTGTTCAGCGGATTCCTTCCAGACTCAACTGCCCCCCACCCAACAAACCAAGGAACATACAATCTATGAATCTGCCTGGTCTGTCCTGTTTGTAGAGCACCTAGCTCAACGTGAGTTCATCATGACTGCCGCTTACAGCTTAACGTACAACTCGTCACAAAAAAAGTGCTTTCTGCCTTTGCTGGTATTTTCCACTACCTGCAGCAGTTACATCTAAAAAGCACAGTATTTAAGAGCTTGGCATTGTCATTTTACAGCTGTAGCATCTCATCAGTTACAAAACCAAATTCAGACATACTATAGAAAATGTGGGTGGCCATTTAATATGGAGGCTAATTATCTAATGCTTTGCAGAGAATCCAGGCATTTTAAACACATGCAGAAGTCTCACTTCACATTCCAGTCTTATGCAGGAAGCATTTGCTGTATATAAAATTCTCCCACTACCATTACTGCCTCCATTTTTCTATTGTAAAAAATAAAATACAGTAATTCACATTCAGCACTTCAAACATGATGATGTTGCCAAGTGTTTTACAACCAAATACAGTAATGACCTTCTACCTTGTAGAAGAGCTCTGCTCAGGGCCAAGGGGCCGCAAAGGGAGAGGTACAGACTGGTTTTGTTGGATTTGTTGTTTGAGTTTGGTTGTCAGGTTTGGTTTTGTTTTTTTTCAACAATTCAGAGGAAAATTTTCTTCTTGACTGACAAGGCTGAAATGCAACTTCATATGCTTACATGAAAGGGAAGAAATTGAATGATCTGAGCTAATACTACACGAGCTTCTCAAGTGCCTCTAGACTTGGGAAAAACACGTGCAAGATGAACTGTCAGCAAGGATGCTACCCACAGATCACAGACCCTGCAAGACCTCAGGAGAGCTGAGGGTCTCAACCAGCTTTTCACCCTGAAAGGAGCAGGGAAGTTAGAGCAGAGTATTCCCAAAGCTGTCGCAAGAGGTGTGGAAAAATCCTTCGCACTGCAAGCAGCAAGTTACACTGATAAATCTCGATGGCAAAATGAATTGGAAAAGGATTACAGAGTTCTAATGATTATGGGTAAATTAAAGAGCGGATCAGGATTTACAGGGCTGTCAGCCCTCCAACCACCAACACTGAGTACAGACCACTCAGAAGGGGCAATGCTGAGTCTGTCATCTTACACTGGCTATGAGGTACTATCACCCACACTTCCTGCTTGCTGGAACTCACCGGATCCTCACTGCTGTGCTTAAAAATCTAAAATTAGAGGAAATGGGAGACCACTGACCCGACGCACAGGAATTAACACACTGAGAAGTACAGCACTCTTGATGCTACCGCATCAGCACAGATTTACACGGTGCTTTTAATACCTCTCCCTTCAAGGAAGCACCAACGATACGTGAAAAATCACCACTGAAATGCTGTTAGTTCTGGGCTGCAAAGCAGAAATTTTCCTGGCAATTAACACACAGAAGCAGGAAAGCAACACCTATAAGGAAAGAACATTGGGATCATAAACATCTGTGCAAAGCATCCAGTTTTCAAACATGAAAAGAACCAAACCGCCAGAGCAGACAAATTGATCCTACTGGGATTTGAACACACCGTTCCAGGAAATCTGGATACTTGCGACACGGCGCATAGGTTAAAGGCAGTGTCAAGGGGCACATGCATTAAACGTGCAGCCACTTAAGAGACTGCTGAACGTAGCCACAGAAGACCGGTAAGCAACATTCCTAACCCGACAAAGCATGCTAACTCTGGGCTCCTTCCAAGACAGACGCACGCCGACGCCGCTGCAGAAAAGACGCTGTTAGTGTGGGGATGACTCACTTGCCATCAGCGGAAGTCTCGAGCTTGCAGCTATGGGATTAATGTTGTGTCAGCCCATGCAAAGCGGGACTAAATGGCAGAGGTAACAAAACTATTTTCAGAGATTCACAAGGCAGCAATACAAGATCTTACAGTCTCTATTTTTTGCACATCGTCAGAACATACCTTCTTTCCTTACAGAAATGTAGGCTTACACCAGACAGAGCCGAGTCAGGCAGTCAATCTATCAAGGAACAACAATTGTGTTTCCAATTAGAGCAAACAGGTGAAGACACGCAGTACATACATCGCAAAGAAGAACTCGGTGCCTGCTGGAGGTGCTCTTCCCCACTCTAATTGCAGGCAGCTCTTTCTGGAAAATTCCTTTCAAGTACTCGAAAAGGAGTTAGGTTTCCCAGTGCATGCGTTTCTTCGCACAAATACCTAGCAAATCTTGAAAACTAAACTCGGTGGAAGCCTGCTGAAAGCACTATGCTGCAGCATGAAAAGATCTCCTTGAACACACGGTAGCCTCACCTAAGAGCAACTTCCAGATTTATGGACATGTTCATAAGGAGAATTTGTTTATTTTGCAGATGCATTTGTGTATCGAGTAAGTTTTATGGGAGTAACAAGTGTTTTCCACAGCTGTGTCCACAAACCTCCCTGTAATTCTCACAAACCGCTCCGTCTGCATACAAGGAACAGCTCCACGTAGCAGGGTACGCTTTCATCTCATCCAGTAGCCGCAGTATCAGCTCGCACTTCCCAGCTGACTTTGTTTCAACAGATTTTAAAGTTTAGATCAGGATCTTAGTGCAGAAGTACTCAATAGCTACGCATCTGCAACTTTGAACTGAAACAACCACCTCAAATTCCCTGGCACTCACATTTTGAAGAGGGACAGTTAAGAGAGTATGACACTAAAATTTCATCATCATATCAAACAGGAAAATTCATAGATATTTACATAAATCAGAATGAGAGAAGAGCAAATTTCCCATCTCAATTAGTTCCCTGGTAGGAAGGAGTGTGGCTGGAAGGAGAAACAACAGCACAGCTCTGTCATGTTACAGCAACAAAGAAAAATTGGTGGTGAGTTTTTACTAGAGTGACTTTTTGATCTCCTACATGCATCTGGATTTCTTCCCTTTCAAAAATTTGGCTAAAAGAAGTAGGTTTGGCACACGAGAAAAACATAACTTCCTCTAGAGCAAAGCTGTCACGCCGCCCAGTTTCCAACAGTGGGATGCAGAGCTGAAATATCCCCAAGAGAGGGGAATCCGTCTGTCCAGCAGGGGTGATGGTGGGAACATGTCTTTGAGAAACACAGCAGAGGAAACAAACCACCTCCACGTGCAGGCACCAAGACCCACAGCATCGGGGTGACCACTGACCGAGTCCTCGAGGAGCCAGCACGGACATTTAACTCCAAACACGTACGACAGCATCCATCTGCGCCGAGGCCGTCACGGGATTTTGGCCACCGTCCCACTCAGTTCCTTTCCCCTTGCTCTCCAGGGACCGCTTCAATTATCACGCAAGCAAGGAGGCAGTTCTGCTGCTATTTAATTGGTATCTGTACCTCCCCCAAACCACTACACACATCCTACACATCAACTTGCTAATAACATCCAGCCACTTGGAGGAAAGGCTTAAAAGCATTTTTTTGGAAATCCTCCTGGATTTTTTTTTTTTTTTTTAACTCCAAGTAAAACAAGTGACTCCAGCGACCAAGTGACTCCTCACTGCCCACCACCACACTGAAATCCTGGATATTTCCAAGCCTGGGTCACATCTAACCCACTGCAAAGAATCCAAAGACACTCTTTTCAATGCACCAAAAGGACAAAGGCACATGCTGTCACCTGTGGGAATCACAGGACTTCCAATTTACGGTTATGGCTAACATCACATTTAAGGCTCGCGTTCCCTGTAGTCGAATACTTTCCCTATTACTAAGCGTGCTAAACTGCAAGACCAAGTATACAGGACAGATGGATTAAAAGACTTAATCCTATTGCACTAAGTGAAATACGCATGGAAGGGATGTGTTAATACCTGCAAGCAAGACAGAGCTGACTGTAAATACAACTGAAAAAGCAGCTACTGGGGAACACTGCTGTGATGTAAAGTCTGAGCAGCAAGGCAAACCTTTGGCCATTTCGGGTCCCAATTCATTTCATTCTCCCTTTCCTCTACAGCATCAGAACAAGAAGCTTCAAGCTGTTCTGCCTTGAAAGCCTCAGGGCTTATTTTTTCATGCTTGCCAATTATTTGGCAATGCCAACTCTGCACATGTGCCGCACAAAAGTTAGAACTAGCATGAAGAGGATGAAGTCCAACCCCTTTGCTATATCCCACCGGACAAATTAGAGCCAAAGACAGCTTAACAAGGTAAATTTTCCTCAAAGTCACAGAATCATGAGCTCAAGTACATGATGCCAGAATGGATGGGGAAAACGGGGACCTTAATAAGGGTAGAACACGTGAAAATGACCCAGCTGACATTGCACAACACCACAACCCAGCCCGAGAGCTGCCGGAGCTCAGGCTCCCTAATCAGACCCTTGCTCTCAAGGCACCCAGCAGCGAAGGCAGAGCTACTGACAACGGATTTAGGCGAAAAGGCTCAGCTTCAGTCCAGCTTTCTGGCTGACACACCACGCCAGCCACAGACTGTGCCTGGCCCTCTGCACCGGCACCGTATGAAACCCAAAGCTCCCAACCCCCAATCGTTTCCACTCTGCCAGCTTGTTTTCAGTGTGAAGCAATAGCTACAAACAATGACAGCGAACAGCTCCAGCCTCATTGCCCAACACTGACAGACAGCTCAGCCAGCGTAAGGTTAACAGCATGCTGTGAAAAAGCCAGCATTTCAACCAGTGGAGCAATACCATGCAGCAACTGATCCTCTAATGGCCAAACTGGTCCTTCTCTTTAGGAAGGGAGCTGAACAGCTCGCTCCTCCGATGCGGCCAATGGCCAAGAGCAGGCAGCAGGAAATCTGCACGAGTGTTCAGAGTGACAGCAACCCTGTGAAGGACCAGTCCAGAACTGTAAGAAGCAAAAGGTAAGCTCATCTATTTCTCTCAAAACCAGCCTACCAACTCCCACTCCTCACTTCCACGAGAAGGTTCTTTTGGGGTAGCACAAGAACTACAACCACCACATGTTTAACCTCTGTGCTTGCAGGCTCACGCTATAAAGGAACAAGACAGGGTTGGCATGGCTAATAGGAAAGCATTCATCCAAGCTAAAATTCCCCACGAGGAAGAGGGCAGCCCTACTCTTACAGATGGCTCCTGGCAGTGGAAATGCATTTCTTTAAATTTAATGTATGGTGGGGGGTGACAGTGGGCTGCGTCACCTCCCGCATTATGCAATGGGAGACAGAAAGGATAGGTCACGCGTGCATGTTACGCTACATCAAAGAATCCCTCTGAGCAGGAGGCAAAATAAATAGCTGCAGGAGAGGAAAAAAAAAACAGGTCTGGTTTAAGTGCATATGCTGCCCTTTATTCTTGAAAGCATCACAGACGCTCGCTCTGCAATCTGCTCCCATTACAGGAGCACTTCCAGCTGATTACAGAGAGCGGAGCAGAGTTCACACACAACACGGGCTCTACACACTGGCACTGACTACAAGGCAAGACCTAAACAAAGCTTTTCTGAAAGAAGTGCAAAAAATTTCAGTCATCAAGACAGGGAAAGCCAAGCAGTGTTTCCAGGGGAGAGCAGCCAGGAGCTCTGGTTTCTGATGTATACGGTGTCGGGAGCATCCCCCTCTCCACGCATGGTCCAAGGGCACCGTGTTGGTAGGGGAAGAGAAGGGAGAATGGGAAGGTAACATGAAAAGGGCATCACCCTCACACCAGTCCTTCATGTTTTCAGCTCACAAACGCTACCATGCCTGACTACTTTGGCGCTTCACTCAGCTGAAGACAAATCTCTGAAGAGATGAGGAGATTTCAGAAGGAAAGAGAAGGGAAAATGCTGACTGGAGACATTTTAGAAAGGGAGTTTAGCTTCCAGCATACATCAATGTGTGCGAGATGCAGTCTCCACTAGCACCTTAATAACAGGTCATGCTCATGGCAGAGGGGTTGGAACCAGATGATATTTCAGCTCCCTTCCAACCCTTACCATTCTGTGATTCTATGATTCTGTAACAGCATTCTGAAACTGGAGTGCCTACATTTGTCAGGGAGCAAACCTTGAGAACCCAACATGCAGATGCAGGATTTTTCACAAAGTACTGAAGCTGAAAAAGCTTTTTCTCAGTGGCGAAATCGACTTCTAAGAGCGGAGAGAAATTTGACAACATTCATAAAATGCTTATAAAACCCTTAATGAGGTTTACTAAATATCAGTTTTGCTGTGCATTCTCCTCTCTTGCATCTGACTAGATGGAGTTTTGAGGAATATGACCAAAAGGAAGCAAAACATTCCTGCAGAAATTCAATAAACTGAGCAGCATTATGAATGTCACATAAAACAGCCCGGAGCTGACAATATCACAGAATGGCGAATGGGGACTAGCAGCACTGCTAAGGTAAGCATTCCTCACTCTTCATTTGAAGATGAGCTTTACTGCTTCCACAGTGCTGAAGAAGATGCAACTAAGTGGAAAAAATGCAGTATTAATAAAAAAAAGAAGTAGATGCAGAGAAAATTTGCAGGACACTTCCAGATGGTACAGGCTCCCAGGTTCTGCTGAAGCACAATTCCTTAGAAAGGTGCAAGACTTTCCCTTCGTCTTTCCTCCATCCAGCATTTCCAGAGAAACGGAAGCAAGCTGCCTGGCCAACCACAGATTCTTAATCAAAAAATACCAAGCAGCTCATGCTGTAGCGCTGAGCTGGCTACATCTGGCAACCTCGCGCTCTGTTTTCCCTCCCCCTTTTTCTTTTGCGAGATGATTTAACAAGCTACAGAATCCCCAGAGACACGACAATCAACCAACAGAAATAGAGCATCGTGTCTTGAACTCTACATGTCCATCTGCGCTGTTCCCCTTTGACAGACACAGAAAAGGTCCGAGTTTGGAGTAAAAATTTTGCCAAAAGGAACTTATGCAAAGAAAAATCTGGCAGGGTGCATTTCATTCCTGCTGCCTGTCATAGCTCCTGTATAGGGGGAACTGATGCACCAATTAAGTGTTTCGGGATGGCAGAAAATGTGTCACCCTCTGCTAGCTGTCTAATCTGCAAAACAGCTACTCATTCATTGTCAGCTGAAATCAACAGGATTAGAACAAGTCAAAGTTACTGTTTTTTTCCAGCACCGACAGTGATCTGATCCAACACGCAACTTGGTGAGAATTTGAGATTTCTAGCGGGGAACCTTGCACCTGGAAGTGTATAGGAAAGGTGATACTTTATTAAACATGGACACCCTCCTCCCAGTTAAGTCTTAAAGATGCCCTATACAGAGACAATAAATACACCTCCGTGCTTTCCCCCACCTCTTGGTGCCAGACTGCCCAAAAGACCTGCACCTCCCTGCACCCTCCCCGACAGCCAGGTTCAGATGCTCCATTTGGGCACCGTGCTCTCCAGCCCAGCGAAGCTGTCTTCACTTCATGCCTCATCATCGGGAAACCATGCCAGCCCGCTCACTCCCGCAGCAAGGCCAGTTCTTCTTTTTCAGACTGGTTGCTGCCCAGAACTGATGCCCAAAATGCTGAACAGCGGCGCCTGTGTCTGACCCGGAGCAGACGAGAAACAGGTAAATAGGCCAAGTTAAGCAGAGCCAGAGAAACAAAGATTTAGAGACTGAATTACCCTTCCCCTACATCAATTAAAAAGCAAACGCAATTATTCTGTACCAATAACTACATCTAGGGCGCACTTTTGCCTTGGGGAGACTAAAAAAATGAGACAGGGGCTCATACAACATCTCATTTCCCTTGTGACACAGCCAAGATCAGTGACATGAGGGCTTTGAATCTACACTGACACTGAAGCGCTTAATTGCTCCAACAGCCGGGGAGAGGGCACTGCACATGCAGGGAGAGACCCCAAAGGCCCTTGGGGAGAGACTCCCAGGGCACCAATCCCAGTACATCAAGACAAGCAGGGAGAAACGTTAAGCTTAAGTAAAAGGGAAATTAGTCGCTCTGATATTGAAGACCGAATGCAATGAGATGGGAGAAGAGGCCCTCAAGGAAGGGAACGCGGGACTGGAGAATTAAGGGCCACGACAAACCTTCCACTTAAGCATTTGGAGCAGGCTTTGTCCTTCAACACAACCCACATCAGCAGTCAAGCCGTTTCACCCATACAACTCAATTTTAGCGTGTACCAAATCCCAGTGCTCCGGCTTAATCAGAAGTCCCTGAAGGCTAGAGAAAGACACGGCCAGGCAAGAAATTAACTGGCAACAACATGGGACACAAAAAAAGCAACTACATACCACTGCACTGACTCCAGATGAAATTCTTTCTTGATGAGCTTTTTAATTGGATGCCCAAAGAGCAAGTAACAGGGAAACGACAGGGCAAAGAAGCAAACAGAAAAGTGACCCAGCGGTGGCTTTCGTGGGAACATTAAGGACACACCTGAGCGGTCATGTTTAAAGAGCACTGTGATAAGCTCCTGCTCGTTCTTGACATGCGTCAAGCAAACACAGAAAGCATCAACATAAGGCAAGACAACAGTTCTTCAGAAAGCTTAAGAAAAGTAGGATGGAAATTAGAAAGGACATCCTTTTACTCTAGAAGCATCTGTCTAATCCGGCCTGATAAAAAGCGGGCACGAGCGTGAATGGCCAAGGCAGCAAATTATTTCCGAACCTTGAGATAGCTCCTATAAAGTTGCCATTACTTGTCTATGCTATCTGTAGAACAGAGATAAGGTTAGAGCTGAAAAATACAAGTGTATAAGCCAGCCAGCCAAATGACATGTATTAAATGCTAAGGTCCCTTCCCCGCTAAGCGCCTGTGAAGAGCTGTGGGGAAGGCCAGAAGGGCAGGTACCGCGCCTCGGGGAGCTGGCAGAGACATCTGTAGACATCCCTAACACTGGTAAACTGAATAAATAATGGAACAGGCAGCTGAGAGAGCTTTTTCCCACACATTTCACTGTACACCTTAAGCTTCCAGCTCTCTTTTTATCCACCTGCCAAATTTGATTTTGCCCAAGATGACAAGCCAGCCTCAAACAGCTTTTTTCCTCACCAGGAAAAAATACATTTTCTTTGGGGAACATACACAACACAAGATAATATGTTTCAAAACCCTTAAAATATTTCTGCCCACTTATTTGAAAGCATACAAAAACAGATCTGGGCTTTTTCTCTGCTAAATACAGTTCTCCCAGCCAGGAGCTGCTTTTTGTGGCGAAGCCTTTCCTAGCCTAACATTTTTTATGTACAGGAGCAATGTATATACGCTAGTCAGACTACTAAATTATAAACTTATGCAGTGATAAAACTCTCTATTACTTCAAACAGTTTCAGGGTCACTGCAACTCTATCCCAGCAAATAATTACATCTCAGCTGTAACAACTTATACCCATACAACTACCAGGCTCCTGAGGCATTTCAGGTGGCTTCAGAAGCTTACCCACCACCGAGTGACAGCTTTTGAGCTGGAAAGCACAAACTCCTTTTCTCAGACAGTAGCTCTGCATAGCTGTCTTGGAGCAGCACTTAAGATCATTAAATAGTACCCAACTTTCCTGAGGAATTTAGAAGAAAAAGTGTAAGTGAAGCACAAGTGAGTTGGGGAGAAAACACAAATCTTCAATTACCTCGAACTGAGATAATGTCAGAGACTGAAAACTCAAGTCTTGTGAAGCAGTTAAGGTCAATGCACAAGAAAAAACAGCTTATTGTATATTTAGGCACACACGATCTAAATGCGACGTTTAACATTCAAAGTCTTGCTTCAAGATTCAAATTTCTTACATTTGGTAACCGCACCTGAAGAGCCGACATTCACCCCAGTTATCTTTGCATCTGAAACGCTGGTTCCAGACGATGTCAACAAACAAGCCCACAGCAGAGCCCGCACTGCACTTCTGGACACAGGAAATCATTAAAGCCTAACGAGCG